GAAATACATTAAGTCTACGAGAAGATAGGGGGTGGGGCCAAAAACTTCGAAATCCCCATAGAAATACATTAACTCTTCGGCTAGTTCTCTAAATTCATTATTTCGTATTTTAGGACAATTTGTCATTTTTAGGTCAATTGGTTATTAGGTCAATTTGTCAAAATTAGGTCAATTGGTCATTAGGTCAATTGGTCGATTTTAGGTCAATTGGTTATTAGGTCAATTGGTCATTAGGTCAATAGACCCGCACCCCTCAATCCATTGCATCCTATGGTCTATATGTATGGCGTATATAATATACACGTGTGGGACGGGTGGGGCACCGGTGCTCAACGGAATACTGTCGTGGAAGGGATGGCAACCCATTAGTAAACTCACTTTTCAGGCTTATCTTGTTCATATAACTGTTCACAATTATATGTTTTACACAACCAGACAAACAGTTTACATAACAGTGGGGACAGCGGTAAGTGTTTATTAAAATGGATTTTATATTTAAACTCAATTAATAGTGTTTTTAAATCTAATTAATTAATTCAATTATTATTCCAGTTATTGGAGTACACTATTGGAGTAATTATTACTTTTATTATCAGTTATTTCGGTTATGTTTTCATTGAGAGACCATTCATTCAAATTGCAAATCAATTTCTGTGAAAATTTAATCATTTCTTATTTTTCAATATACTTTATTAATGCAGCAAGCAAATGTTACACAATTTATTCTATATTATTATATATAGAATTTTATACTTGGTTAAGTAATTATATTGTGAAGACTCTCCAGAATAACACATTATTATTACATACACACAACTATAAAATTATAACCAAATAGAATATCCCATAGAATAACACAAGAATTATCTGTTTTTCATTGATTTTGATATGGCATACCATTGGTATATGAATTAAAATTATACCACTTTAAATACACATCTTAAGCTAACAAATGAGCCATAAATCAGAATCCGAGAAATTCTCATTACCGAGAAATAAGCCGTAGAATTACATGTGTTTAAATACAGAATTTGGGGAAAACTCGATTTTGACCCCCGCGCATGAATTTTAGAACCCACTTTCTATATTGATTATTAAAGCTTACATATAGTACTATCATTATATAAAATAATCCAAGATGCGTGTTGTCACACCTTAATGTGTTTTTTCTAAAACAAAATATAATACCTTATAAATGTTAGTTATTCACATTCTGATGCAAGCTGAGTAGAATTGCATTGCAGCGAAGCCTAATTCTGATGCAATGTACGCTAACGTTACAGAATAGGAAAATTCTGATGAAATTCTGGACTCGCGTTACAGAATATTCTATACCAGTTATATACTCATTGCTTGACACCAGAACTCTCTCTTATAATTCTGTTCTCAAACAGTTCACTACTTGATGTATTAAATTGTGTACTCAAATATATAAAAATGTAACTCAAAAATAAAACAATATTAAGTCTGCAAACAAATGTCTACTTTTATCATTTGTGCTACAATTACCAAATATGTCCTAAAGATCTCATAACTCAAACTCTAATTCCCGGCGACCCTACCGTGTGTTACTGTTTAGTAAAGTGGAGTCTCATCGACAGTATTAACTGTTATTAGCTTCCGATAATAGTTATACTACTGTTTTTGATGGTTCGTACAGTTCGAGTCTAAACTCATCGCAACGGCTAAACGCAATCGAGACCTCAAGAATCAAAGGGATAAACAATTCTGGCAAATACTCAATTACTACACACCACAACCTGGACTCAACAATTAAGATCTGTCACAATATAAAGCTTATTATAACTCTATACCTATTTATATCCATTTTAAACAAAATTAATTATAATATGTTAAATAAGTAAACCTGCCCAAATCTCAAAATGGCCAAAAAGTAGCCTATATTTTTGCGCCTACAGTATGAATTATATCCCCTTAATGTATGCAACACTGTGAAGCAGTAAATAATTTTTATATATAAATACTGTAAATATGAATGCTTTACAGTGAAGTCGACTGTTGTAAATAGTATGTTATATTGATTATAGGCTCCTTTTTGGCCATTTTGAGATTTGGTCAGGTTTACTTTTATTAGAAAATATAAACTAAACCATACGACATATTAATGTCTTTATCTGAATTATATGAATTTAAATTACATGTACTGGATGAATTAAATTACATGTACTGGATGAATTAAATTACAATAAAATTTTTAATCCTAATGTCAAAACAATTTTCAAAGGAGATCGTCCAATTCTGCCTAAGCTGGCAATCGGGATTTTTTGATTGGATATGAAGGTTTATTCAACGAGGAGTCCGACTATGTAATTTATATTGTCCTGTGACCTCGGGTTCGGCCGCAGTGACCACTTATCGGGAAAAGTTTTAATGAAAATATTAACATATGATATATGAAATCAATGTAGAATCTAACGTAGAATAAGAATATCTTACTCAAAATATTTTAGACAATTTAAAAAGAAATCTGTTAATAAATTATAAATTCAAGGTTTTGCAAAAATAAAATAAGATAACTGCACACCCACCCATCCCACCTGAGATCATCACCCACCCACTGTCCTCCACAATCCCACCACCAGCCCCCTCAAAACACCCCTGCCAAAGTCTAATGTCACATGTTATTGTTGCTCTTGTCCGCCCAATTCCACGCACACATCATTTAAGAATGCGGCGGGAATTGGGATCTCGGATAGGTGCCTACCAAATCCGAGAAACCACAGAACTGTGGCCACATGAGCACAACAACCCACAGTTTTGAGGCCATTAGGACAAGTGCAACAATAACCAGATACAGCGTCGACACCGTCCTTCTCCTCATCGGCAAGAATTAGCAAGAATAAACTGTTCTGCATCCACCGGGGCCCTGGTGGCAGACCCCGAGTGGATGGATTCTGTTTGCCCATAATTTCGCTTTATGTCATCAAATGATATAAACTGGCTAATTAATAATAAAAAAAATTTTTGTTATTAATTTCTCATTTCATATCAATTGATGGCATGAAGCATCAATAATAAATATATATAATTTTCACCCATAAATTAGGTCGATTTAATTAATAAAATAATTATTTCTATCTATATTTTATTAAATATTAGTTTTATATTATTTTGAGTAAGATATTTTTATTCTACGTTAAATTCTACATTGATTTAATATATTATATGTTAATATTTCCTTAAAAACTTTTCTCTATAAAAGTGGTCACTGCGGTCGAACCTGAGGTCACAGGACAATATAAATTATATATTCGGACTCAGCATTGAATGTTCTTTCATATCCAACCAAAAAATCCCGATTGCCAGCTTAGGCAACTTAACGTACCCATTGGACAGGCTCCTTTAAATTATCATCAAAACCATTATTATAATTGCATATACACCAGGGTTCAATGGGAAGTGTTTACAAATATTTGTAATAAAAATATATAACTATATATATAAAAATATAAAAATATTGAATAACATAACTTTATATTATAATGCAGTGGTTATCATTCTATAAATATAGTGACAACTAGCCTTGTAACAACTTTGCATTTTAAAGCATTTCATTCAACACTAGTTATTTTGTTAATCTCTAACACTTCAAGTTAAAAATCATAATTTCAAAACTATTCATACAAATTATAAATGAAACAAAACACACCATTTATTTGTTATATGAGTCTAAACTTGATTATTTTATTTTTTGTTTATTTTAAGTACTTATAATTACCAAATATTCATATATGAATTGTCAACCTATTGATTAGTAAGGTGAGTAAGGTGATATTAATAAATAAAATAACTAGTGTTGAATCAAGTGCTTTATAATTCAAAGTTGTTACAATGCTAGTTGTCACTTAAGTGACAAATTGAAAACAAGTGCTATAATGTGTCAATTTTATTACCCAAGGTACTTTTTAGGTACTTTTAGTACCCAATTTAAGTGTCAAAACTAGTCAATGTGTAGACACCCAGTAATGAATGATGCTTTTATGTCACGTTTTAAGTGTTTACCATGCTCTTAGGCGTCATCCATAAAGTACGTACGCAAAATTTTGGTCAAAAACTGACCCCCCCTCCCCCCTACACGCCATCGTACATAGG